GTTTCTTAGTGTCCCTCATCTATGTCCTTCCTTGTGAAGTCCAGAGAAGAATATACTGAGGGTATTCTTTGAAGCCCTCTTGAATATTCAAGCATGCTATAAGATGCATGTGCTATTTTCTCCAAATCACACTCAGTGCTGGTTCTGTCATGGGATGTGCAATTGCTGAAGGCCTTCAGGGCTATGGAATGAATACTGACAGAGTCATGCCATGACAAGCATCAGGGAGAGCTAGAGGAACTAGAGTAAAGGAACAAGCCAGGTGAAGCCAAAGGGCTGAGAGTAGATTTGGCTCTAGTTCAGCTTGGGCTGGCAAGGGAGAGGAGGACCAATGAAGCTCTGCTCTTCCTCTTCAGGACAGAACTGTACATTGACTCCTCTCTTAATGCTACTGGTACTGGACTTGAGTCAGAACACTTGTAACATTCCTAAAACTCATGATCTTCCTTTTGTTTTTATTCAAAATAAAAAAATTCCTATGTAAATTTTATTATGCATTTTGGTTATAAGCTACTTGCAAATGCTTTGTGGAAAAAAGGAGATGAGTATAACTGTCCAAGCTACTCATTTTTTTCTCTATTAAGGACAGAATGTCATAAGTATCAGATATCCTTTCTCGAGCCAGAAAATTATGGTTGCTATTGAATTATAATATCCTCATCAATCACTTAGGGAATCCCTAAAACTCCCAGAAGCTCCTAGAATTCACAGAAAGGGTTGGCTGAGGACATGAGGTTACCTAAGTTTTCCCTGGATATTGAACTTGGATCTTTTATTCCAAGATTTAAAAAATACAAGCAACCAAGACATTTTATTTAAACTCACTGAATTGTTCACAATACTACTTTATGGAGGGCCAGTAGTCTAAAATGGGGTCACAACATCGATCTTTTAAATTCAAGAGTTCAAAATACTGTCTCCTGGCTATGTCTTCGTTCTTCCTAACACTGAAATTCTCTGAGTAAAACAAAATTCTGCAAGAATTTTCTCTCCAATAAGGCAATTCTAAAATTCTGGGATGGGTTCCTTCTCTCTAGAAGCTTTTTGCCTAATACTGTGTGTACTATAAGCTTATTTTTTGGATTAAAGGTGTTAAAGATGCCCAAAGGCTAACCAATCAATTTGTTTCTATGTCAGTGCCATCTATTTTCTTTTGGAAGCTCAGTGACTACAGAGGGTTTTTTTTTGGCTTTCTAGCATAAACTTGTACAGACTTTGAACTTAAGGAACTTGCAGCATCTGGCTGTAAACTTGTCTTCTACTTAGAAACTACAACATCAAACCGTAAGTGAGATAATTCAGCTTTTAGCAAATCTGCAAATGATTTATTTGAAGAATACAGAAGTGAATAACAGAGGAGTATGTGAAATAGAAAGATGGTGTGGGAGTAATAAAATAAATGAAGACACAAGGCTTTTCGAAAGGTTATATGAGGAAACGAAGACATTAAACGTCACATTATTTTAGAAGACAAAATTACAAGGTACATGATATGCCAGTGCATTTCTCGATTACAGTAAGGCTTTCCAGGCAATAAGAAGACTTGTATGGCTATTATCCAGAGTGATTACTGAATCAGGGATATTATACAGAAAATAATATGTAGAGTTCCAAAGTCAGTTTCTTTGTGCCACATTTCTCTGCCCTCAATCTCACTGTAGTTATTTCCTCTGAGAAACAGCCACTATAGCTTTCTAGAATTCTCTTCCACAAATTTCAAGTGAGAAAATTAAAGTAAGTTAAAAAATGAAGTCATGAAATTGGATGACAATCCACTCACTTAATTGTGTCATACCAGCTTGAAAGGCAGATGACAGTCCTGTTGAATGTGAACCACACTCTTAGATGAACATTCATCAGCTTACCTTTATACTGTTTAAAAATTTGAAACATAAAAACAATGGAAGGATGGTCAAGACATATTTCAAGAGGTCTAGAAATAATTTTAGAGAAAACAATATCTGCCACTATCCGTATGTTTACTGAAATACCACAAGTTAACTTTAAATGTCATATAACCCAAGGATTCTAAAATTGCTTCATTAATGGATGCATGTTGTTGACAGGACAAAATACACAGAGAGGAACTTCATTCTTTGGTTGCTATGGAGCTTGTTGTTTGTTCTTATTTGGTAAGGTGGGTGCCATATATATTTAACTCTATTAATAGGACAGAAAATTAAGGAGGTTAAAATCTGCAAAAGGGATGCGATGAGCCCACTAACAGTCACTAATAATGGGACAGGTAACTGCAGTAGTGGTGTGCATTGAGAGGTGCTAAAAATCTCATCCAGTTTCTTTGCCCCTATCTTTATCAGATCCTAGAAACCTCAACTGATTTAACACTTTAGTTATTTCTGTTTTGTATGTAACACAGACTAGGTCAGAGTCCCAAGCACTCAGTTAATTTTTAGCTTCTTGATAATCAGATAGAGCTATATAATTCAATAAGTACAAGCACTGATTTTTAATGATAGGCATTTTCAGGACATCCTTTGGCAAGGGGGAATACAGAAGGACAACGGAAGAATTAAAAATTCTTAATTACAGAATCTATACAGAAAATTCGAAACAGTATTAAAAGTAAAAGAATGAGTGAACAATAAGCGTCTAAAGGTGTCATTACTGCTTGGAGTTTTTGCCACAGTGTGTTCTCAATTAAATTATCTCAGCAAAGTTAAACCTGCTTCTCTGTGTAAGACATTTTGGTTTTACCAGATTTATCTTATTTGCACTGTGAACCTTCAAGAGTACTGACAGCTATTTTTCTTAAATTTAGTTAACTGTTGGTAGCATATCCCACAGGACTGTTACTCCACAGAGTAACCCTGATGGGCATGGTGGCAGGTTTTCAAAAGCTGCATTTCTCACTCTCATCCTTCCTGTACTGGGGACTGAGTTCTAGAACATAAAAAGCTAACTTATGTTTTACAATCCAGAAATGGGCACGATTCATTTTATTCATTGTTAAATCACAACCCAGGTTGCCCACATGTTAGATATTTAATTTGTATTAAAGAAATGGATAGTATTTGAAAAAGTGTCACATTAGTTTTTTTGCTGGTGAATCTGATCACCCACAGTACTGGTTGTTATAAAACAACACGCTGATAGAAAGTGCAAAGTAGACCTCAAGATCGAAATAGGGAACAAGAAGAGAAAAAGGTTACAATTCAAACTCGAAGCTGATTGGAATAGTTGATATATTACAAAGATGAGTACAGGCTGCACTTCTAAATCTAATTACAGTGACCAACATGTCTTGTTTGGAGGAAAACCCATTTAAAAAATCAGATAATGACTGGCACGAAGCATGAGAGCTCTCAGAGATTAACAGAAACAAACTGGATTATAAAACCTATCAGGTTATCAAGCATTTTGCAAGGGTCATATATTAACATTTTAAGATAATAACCTTAGAATGAAGAAAGGGAATTCATAGACACGTCATATAACAGCAAAGGATTTCTAAGTTATAATAGTTTGTCCTGCATAAATTTAATCAATGACAGAGAAAGACAAAGGGGTATTAAGCCAACTCTTAATTCTCAAACTAGGTCTAAGATGTGATCTACTGCAAATTAATATGGCTTTGTTTTAAAGGCACTCCTTTTCTGCAAGTTTTGTTAGCATAAATCAAATTTTTTGAAAAATTATTTAAAAATAATTTTAAAATAATTTAAAAATATCATTCAAAAATAATTTTCAAAATTATAAACAGCTGAAGCAATGATTACTTCAATAATCTTTGCATTCTGTTTCAAGGACTATCAGAACCATAGAAGCAATGAACTTGAGAGTGAGAATGTTTTAAATATTATTTCACAAATAAATAGAAAATATTCCATGTTCATGATTGGAAGAATTAATGTTATTAAAATGTCCATACTACCGAAAGTAATATACAGATTCAATGCCTAACATGTTGGTGTCTAGAAGAAAATATACCATGTAATTCCTACTTTGGGAAAGGCATGATGTTGGGAGGAGGGATTTTTGGTTTTGGTTGCTTGCTACTCAAATGTCTAGTTCTATAGAAAAAGAATCATTCCACCAAGGAAAAAAGAATTCCACCAAGGAAAAAATAATACTTATGATCTATTTACTTTTGCAGTTTGTGGCAAACACAGAAATAATTCTTTCTTTAAAATAACCCAGAGCCACCGTGGAAGCTCTTTGCTGTTAGAATGGGTCTCCTTTGTCCCTGTCAGGCTTACTTTAGAGGCCTCAATCTTCTATTATTATGGACCACAAACCCTAGTACCATCTTTGGCCATTGAATACTGGGTTTGTACTTATGAAATTGCATATTTTTCTTTCTTCTATTAATTATTTAACTACGCTTTAAAAATATTTTGATGACTTAAACTATGATTCAAAAGAAAACCTCTTAGATGATATAGAAGACTTCACTCAGCATGCGTAGCGACAATTTTAGGAATACCAGAATTACAACAAATACAGTCAGAAGTTACTGCTCTAAACTTAGTTCTATTCTCTGAATTAAGTCCAACTCTTTAAAAATAAAATTAAATATAACAACTCTTCTACTTTCTGAAGTCCAAACATAAAGCAATACTGGTGAAAACAGTTATAAAGAGGCAGGTTTTTTCAATTGTGTTTTTTGAAACGTAAAAAGGAGGGTACTTCAAAAGTTCATGGAAAAATGAATTGAAAGATAAACTTATTTTGGAACAAAAGATATTTGAAGTCCATGCCCAGTTTTTTCCATAATATGCATTTCCATGAACTTTTGGAGGATGTGTCATTGCATGAATTTTAATTACTCTACATCAAAATAAATTTATCTTTTGATTTCGTTTTCTATGAAACTTTTGAAATATTTAGTTATATGCTTTTCTCTTATCTCCTCTTCTCTCCCTCTCATTTTCTTGCCTTCCAGATAGAGTACACTACTAAGGTCAATATTGTAGGAAAACAGATTGAGAAATCACAACAATGATAGTTTATATCATTTGATATAAATAGTAATACTTTACCGAATGGAAAATTCCATGAAAGAAATGTCACTCCAATCAGATGACTTACCTAAAAGTAAGAGAGGCAGAAAAAAAGTGAGAACTTGGCACTAAATGCAACCCTTGATATACTATATTTTAAAACATATGGTAGATATCTTAACAACTGATAGATTATACAAGACAAATAGAAACTATACCATATTATTTCACAAATAAATAGAAAATATTCCATGTTCATGATTGGAAGAATTAATGTTATTAAAATGTCCATACTACCAAAAGTAATATACAGATTCAATGCCTAACATGTTGGTGTCTAGAAGAAAATATACCATGTAATTCCTTAGGAAAGGAAATGGTAAACATGGAGCAAAAGCAATGTTGTAAAAGTGGTATTTACTTTCAAATCATTTGGGTCTCAAATATGCTTGAAAAGCTCAGTTTTTGAAAATATGGACACATAGGCTTGGAGAGGCGGCAGCTAAACTGTGGCAGTATACGCGTGCCACCTTCTTTCCTCAGATCTCTGGTTACTGTTTTAAAAAGAGACTGCCAAAGCTGCAAACTTCCAAATATCTTCATCTCCTATGACTCAAGAAAAAGGTGCCAGTGTATCAAGTGCTACTGTAATTTCCTCTGTTGATTTTCTTTCCCCTTAACACTTAGATGTTTTGACTGTTTGCTTTTTTATTTTCCCAAGTGAACACTGATGTTCGTGAAAGGTGCCAGATTAACAACCTGAGGAAATTAAGAGCTTACTCTATCAAGAGAAAAGGCTCAGTGTAGTGGAGGTGATGAAAGTTTCCCCTACACTGTGCTTGCCTATGTATGTTCGCTCTGACCCACAGTCACCCTAGCTCTCCAGTTTTCATGGCCCATTAATGTTGTGGACTGCTAAGGCTGCTAACAGGGGCAGACAATTCAGTTCCTGCTTATAGTGATACCATTGCTATTACTGCTATTGAAATCTCAAACTCCTTCAGTAAAATATGTGGAAATTTATGTCAGCTGCCATTTTGTTTCAGGACAATGGGAAAGTAAATTAAAGATGGGTTTTATATTATTGGTAATACTGTAGGTTTGGCTAAAATCTATTAATTTCTTCAAATAGGGGACAAAGCTTTGAGCAGTCAAGTTGAAATGGCTTCACTAAATTTAGTCACCTGCATTCAATTTGAATTCTCATTCAAGGATGTTCTAATATTTAAAGGGCATAGATATTTTATTTTTCCTGCTGCTACCATGAAGACCAATTTTATGATTTCTTAGCAACTGTTGTAAAGACTTGGTAGATGCTGAGGCTAAAACTATTACATATGAATCAAAAAATCAGTGTCAGAGAAAAATACCTCTCTCTTTTTTTTTTTTAAAGATGTATTTTATTTATTTGACAGGCAGAGTTACAGAAAGAGGTAGAGAGAGAGAGAGAGAGAGGGAGAGAGAGAGGGAGAAAGAGAGAGAGAGAGAGAGAGAGAGAGAGAGAGAGAGAGAGAGAGGTCTTCCATCCACTAGTTCACTCCCCAGATGGCCGTAACGGCCAGAGCTGTGTGGATCCGACTCCAGGAGCCAGGAGCTTCTTCCAGGTCTCCCACATGAGTGCAGGGGCCCAAGGACTTAGGCCATCTTCTACTGCTATCCCAGGCAACAGCAGACAGCTGGATCGGAAGAAGAGCAGCTGGGACTAGAACCAGTGCCCATATGGGATGCCGGCGCTTCAGGCCAGGGCGTTAACCCACTGCGCCACAGTGCCACCCCCCCCTCTATATTTATAGAATGATCTGAGCACTTTGAAATCATTGATTAATCCCTCTCAGTCCAGGAATCTATGAAATCACTTCGCTTCAACTAGTCAGTTACTCAGCAACTAGTACTGCTGACACTATGCCAATTCTCCATGGAAAGCACCAGAGCCACAGCAAGACATTAATCCTCTTCACCCAGAGTTTAATTATATGGAAGGATCAGCATATGAATCCCGCAGTTGTTCCCTGTCTTTGACATTGTCATTCTTTTCATCAAAGTCCAAACTTTCTGCAGCTAGAGAAAATTTCCATCTTGACATGACCAGCATTTCCTGGGTTTTCTAGTCTTTACAAGAATGAGAATTTCAGGATACCAATGGCTACAAAAACACATATTAACACTTAGATGAAAGGTGCCCTGGTTGCATCTCATATGGAAACCTTGTTAAATTTTCGTTTGGGAACATTTGGCTGCTTTTTTCTTTACCAGGGATAGGCTTTATCAAGCAAGTCCTTATGGTGGTAGAATATTTGGCACTAGCTGAAGTCTATGCTATTGCTGGCAGGGGAGCTAATTGAGAAGGAGGGGTGGAGCAGTTAGTTACCTTTATCAGGAATGACCTTAATGTTAGGGAAAGGTTCCTTCCTCCCCACTGTTTAAGCAGCTTTACTGAAAGACTTAAACCCAGATGTGAGAGAAGAGATTATCTCCAAGAGCAGCGGCACTAATTATCTTAGTATAAACATCAGGAAGGTGGAAATTAGTAGAAGCTAATATGTGTATATTTCATGGAGAAGGCTGTGTTGGGGAAACCATCTCCAACCCCTAATGTCCATGGAGTCCTCAGTTTCCCAAACTGCAAGAAAATTAGAACATAACTACTTAAGAAAACTAACAGTCACATGCTATGCAATGACCAATGTTGAGAGACTGAGAGAATAAGCTTGTGCACAGTTACCAACAGATTGCTGTCTCTACTCCCTTTGTGGCTAGTTGTTACCAACTCCCTGTTGCCATCAAAAGGCTAACATATCATTCTCAATGATAGATAACCTGTCTGTTCTATACCATGATTCACAGCAGTGGCAGTCAAAGCCACAAGGCTTGATTTAGCTTTACAACACTCTAGTTTACATCACCAAAGCACTTGTCTGATTTAACACACTTTGGAATTTGGCATTGAATTGCAGTTAGAGTTAAATTTGTGTAAATTCTGGGCCAATTCTCCGCCACAGGAACCTGGCGGTGGGTAGGTTTCTTCCCCTCTCTTTTTCATTGCATATGGATCTCTTGCTGATTTCTCCTTATTAGAATTTTGCATATTTCATGATTTTCCTTTTCTCATTATATCATCTTCTTTTTCCCATGATATATGTACAAATATTGATTTCTAGAATTTGATATTTTACACAAAATGGATTAGCGAAACAGGGCAAATCAGTTTTGTGGACATGTTACTAAAATAATCTACATGGTTCTCTGGTTAAATGAAAATTCAGGAGAGATATTTTCATCTCAGTGAATCAAAGATAAAAAGGGCAATTATGAGATACTCAAATCAATGATTCTCATGGTCATGAAGAGAAATACAAAAAGCAACAAAGGGAATTGGAGCAGAAAATGACAGGTGATTTTTCCTTTTCTTACAGTTTTAAACATCTGCCAATAGGTTTATCAATGCCAACGACAAAGAAACATAGCAAGTCTGAGAAAAGTATAGGCATGAGATGGTATATATGTCATGTAGAAAATAACCAGCTTAGGCACTAAGAAAACCAGTATACACTGAAAGAGTTATGAAGATGTACATGTTCACGTTTTGGATAAAGAGTACATACATAAAACCAGACCAAACAAAAATACTTTAAAATAATTTTTTATCCTTCTCCATACATATTAAAGATAGGTCAATTAGGGATGGGATGGCCCAGTGCATTAAGCCACTGCTTGCCAAACTGCTATCACATACTGTAGTGCCAGTTTGGGTTTTGGCTGCTTAACTTCTGATCCAGCTCCCTGCTTATTTACTTGGAAAGGAAGTGGAAACTGGTCCAAGTACTTGGACCTCTGCAACCCTGTGGAAGATCAAGATGGAGTTCCTGGCTTATGGCTATGGGTCTGGCTGTTGCAGCCATTTGGGAAGTGCACCAGCACAAGGAAGATCTCCCCAACCCCACCCCTGTTGCTTTGCCTAAATAAATAAATAAATAACAGAATCTTTTTCTTTTTTAATAAAAATGATAGTTCAATTTAAAAAGCTTATAGTGATTAAGTAATCACTTAGCTCAAGACAGTGCATGGTTTTACCCATCAAGAATGCTGTTTACTTTGGCTGACAGGCTGCAATCACTAATTTGATTATCTGATTCAAAACAGAGTCCAGAACATTTGTTCTTAGCTTTAATTTCTTAAGTAGCAATTTCTAGGAGTCTCATTCTAAGGGTTGCGTGCAACTCAAGTTGTATGGGAAGAAAAGATATTAAACAACATAGATTTTTATCATCCCAAAGCTGAGTTTAAATAACACAAAATAAAAGAGTAAAACTAAAATCTGGAATTTGAATGACAGTCTTCATGACTAAAGAGAGGAGATACTTTTTTTTTTCAAAAAAAAAAAAAAAGTCTTTGCAGTACAAAATTATAGATGATCACCTCATTGAAAGAGGTGAAACGTAGGCCTCAAATTTGTCCAACTGTGTGAAGTAGTTATGATAATTATTGGGAAAGAAGAAACAAAGGTTCTGGAAAAATATTCATAAGAATTACAAAAATATTCTAGTCATATAGAAATTTGGAGGTTACTTAGGGAAATGACATATACAAAGGAAATAATTTAAAGACAACAAAAACAAAATTTTAGAAAGAGTAAATATCATTTATGGGGGGTGGGACATTAGTATTCGAAGGTTATCTTAGCAAGAACAGTACAACTGGGGCCAGTTTTTCCAGATACCCCCTAATATACCTGCATCCCACAATGACTACAACAAATTTCACCAAGGAAGTTATGGCTAAGGGGTTTCTGGCCTAATGTCTGAAGGGAATTTAGCATCTTGCTTGCCTTTTTTTTTTCTTTTTAAATAAAACTTCAATTCTACTTCCTACCAAATTGCTTTTCTCCTTTCTACCATTCCCCATTCTTTTTCTTGTATATATGGGTTGAAAGAGCAGTGGTGGAGGTGGGGATGAATGGGACACAGCTGGCCTGTGGCAGAGGGGCTGTATGTAGGAAGCAGCTGTATTCTGGAGAAAAGGAGAACAAAGGATTGGGATCTTCAAAGACAAAGAAGACTTTTCCTGCATTCTCTACTCCTTTTAGTCTTT